TTTGGTGCATTGCCAGAAGGGCTTCTCGGTCGAGAGGCTCTGCCATTGAGGTCGACGGGCCTACTTAAGGGGGGTCATCCGGACTTAGGGACAAAATTTTCGAAATCGAATCTTGTCCTTAAGCCTGGGGTTCATCCGGTCACTCACAAGGCCTACCGGTCACTACTTAAGGACTTGGGACCGACGGCGCGCTCCTATCCCTAAGTATGTGTATTCGGCGTCGAAGCTTAGGAACCTGGGGTACAGGGACTTGCCCAAATTCTTAAGCCAATGCCCTGAATCGGTATGACACCGATCGTGAGCGAAAACTCCGGGAGGGGTACTCTACCCAAGACAGTGTTCTTAAGGTATCATCCAGCCTGCCAACCATGTCCCCGAGCATGCAGCGAATCTGATTTATGCTTCCGAACACTTCGAAAGAGGCAATGCCACGTCAACACAACCGCCCGGTACCCTTAAAAATGTATACCGTTGACATTAGTACGCACCAGAGTGCATAGAGGGCTCAAATCCGTGCTTCGAACACTCTGGACAAGTCCATTATCGACGAAAGGGTGCGTGCGTCGACGAAATTCCCGACAACACTGCCCAATAGTTGAATGCAACTCTCTGCCGGACGCTCTCAGACGTTCACGAGCACAAATTGTACGGTCTTTGCCCAGTACTGCACCTGGGTCAACAAGAAAAAAAAGAAGCAGCCAACAAAGGTGCACCCCAGTTTGGATCCTCACGTGCCATCTATAGTCAGTCCAATCGGTGGCATGCAAACAGAAAACTGATACAGGGATGTCACTTCCCAAAAATGCGCTGCCTCCATCAGTTTTGATGCGCGAGAGGGAGTTCTCCCCAAGGATGCTGTCATTCTGCAGTGCTTTGTGGCAAAAAGCTCCTACCAAGCGGATCTTGGGTTGGTTGCACTCGTTGATCATTGGCCTTGCAGATAGATTTGTGGCACGTGCATCATGGCCAGGCCTGCAACTCGTCTAGATGCAAGAATGCTGCTTCTGGTGGCTTTGTGGTGGTTTAGCTCCACGTGCAAAGTGCACCCAGCCACCATAGAGGATATTGGCAGCCTGGTCGATGGTCCCCTCTGGAACCAGACCAAGCTCAACCTGAATTCTAAGGGCCTTTCGGAGCCCATACCCCCGCAGCTCGGCCGCCTGACCAATCTCACCTACCTGGACCTCTCCTACAACAGCCTCTTTGGCCCCATCCCACCGGAGCTCGGCAACCTCACCAGCCTCCAAAACCTTTACATCTACAAAAACAGCCTCTCGGGCCCCATCCCCCCGCAGCTCGGCAACCTCACTAGCGTCCAGTTTCCCTCCCTATTTTCCAACAGTCTCTCGGGCCCCATCGCCCCGTAGCTCGGCAACCTCGCCGGCCTCCAATACCTCGACCTCTCCAGCAACAACCTCTCGGGCTCCGTTCCTTCGGGGCTCGACAGCCTGACCAACCTCACGTCTTTGGACCTCTCCCACAACAGCCTCTCGGGCCCCATCCCCCCGCAGCTCGGCAGCGTCACCAACCTTAAAATCCTTTGGCTCAACAACAACAGCCTGTCGGGACCCATACCTCCAACTCTTTCCCGGTTTCGTGGAATTTCCTTCTTCCCAGGAAATTCTGGACTGTGCTGCCTCACATGCTCCATTACAGGCCTGTGTGCTGACTTTCCACCCCCAGCCCCTTCATCGCCACCTCCCTTATTGCAACCGCTTCTGCCAGTGTTTGCCTTCCCTCCACCCCCAGCTCTGCCTTCTCTAACCCCCTCATTGCAACCACTTCCGCCAGTGTTCGCCTTCCCTCCACCAAATGCACCTCCTTTCGTGGCCCCAGTCCTGCCTTCTCTACCCCCCTCCTTAACCCCTCAGCCGACACCAACTCTGGGACCTAATCAAGCGCCCCCTTCCTCATCCACTTCAGTAGGACCCATCGTCGGCGGAGTGCTTGCTGGCGCCGCTCTTCTTGTGGCCGCTGCAACGATAGGCTTCTGCCTCTATTGTCGGAAGGGGCGGAAGGGGTTTCCCGCTGCTGTCCCAAGTCTCGAGGAAGGTGACCCAAAGAACGAGCTTCACGGGGCAATCGTCCCTGCACCTCCAGCCCCTACGTCTCTTCAGGAGCGCTTCACCCTCAAGGAGCTGCAAAAAGCCACCAGGCACTTTGACGCAACCAGTGT